TTCCTCCGCGATACCTCACCGACGATGATCGTGCATGTGATCGCATAAATCCTGAGTTCGAGGCGTGGGAGGTTCAAGATCAAATGCTTCTGACATGGCTTCAATCAACATTGTCGAAATCTGTTCTGTCCCGTGTTCTTGGCGCAACTCACTCCTACGAGGTGTGGGAGACGATTCATGAGTATTTTCAAATGCAAACTAAGGTTCGTGCACGTCAACTTCGCACTGACCTTCGTTCGGTTCAATTAGAAGGTAAAACCATGCGTGAGTATCTTTTGCAAATCAAGAGCATCGCTGATGAACTCGCTGGTGTTGGCTCTCCAGTAAAGCATGAGGAATATGTTGATGCCATTCTCGTTAATCTTCCGCAAGAATATGCACCAGTTGTTGCTGTTATTGAAGGTAATTTCACAACACCTCCGGTCAATGAAATTGAAGCTCAACTTCTTTCCTTTGAGTCTCGCAGTAATCGTTTTCGACAGCAGTCTATTCCGGTGGTTAATTATGCATCGCATGATGGTTCTGGTTCTCGAGGTCGCTCATTTGGAGGTCGTGGTGCTTATGGAGCCTCCGCTGTTAACCGTGGTGGTCATCGTGGGGGTACTTCTGGTCGTGGTCGTGGTGGTCGTTTTGCCAATTTTCAATGCCAAATCTGTTTAAAATTTGGTCATACTGCTAATGTTTGTCATTTCCGTGCTAATGCATCCTATCAACCTCCAGATTCTATGGTGTTATATGACCCTACCACACAGCAACCTATTAACTTCAAAAGTTCCAACACTTGGACCAATCCTAATCTCAAATCTAGTACTCCGACTGATGCTCCTTCTCAAGGAGTTTCTGCTGAAGCTCACACAAGTCGTTTGAACCCTCCTATATATATATATATATATATATATGAGTAATGAAATGTTAGAAATACTCCACTACAAAAATTTCAACAATTTCACTGTTGGTAAAAAAATAAAATAAGATTTGAGAAATTGTAATATTTCAAATTTTTTAGAAAATGTTTAATTATATTATTATAATTGTTCTTAATTTATTTTTAATATTTTAGTAAATAAAATGAATCTACATAATATCTAATTGTTAAAATAATATTAAATTTCTAGTTATAATATTTTAAATTTTTTAGTACAAAGTTTTAAATTTTAATATTTTAAAATTTTCAGTATTATATTTTAATATGAAGAAAAAAAATGGTAAATTTTTAATAAAGTAATATTAGAATACTTATACATGATGTATTCGTAAGTTTTTTTTTTAAAGGAATCGTAAGTATTAATTATAGGTATTTTTTTTATATTTAATTACATTAAATAGATTAGATATATTATAATTTATATATTAATCAGAAGCAGTTTCTGGATGAATTCACGTCGGGCGCGATCTAGCTGTGCCGGGCGTGAGTTCTTTCAGAATTTGACTTTATAGTCTTCATGAAAGTTGTAGCCTTGGATCTTAGCTTTCCAATGGCATTGAATCACCTAAAAAGGAGGTCTATAACTCTAGATATGGATGTTTTAGTGAACAGGGGCCAAGTTGTCAACATTAGTTATAGCTGTTGCAGTTTTTGTAAGTTTTGACAAAGTAGATGATGGAGTTAGGACTCAGTGTCTTAATAAGAGTTGTAGGAAATCCCCTTATATTTCTTTTGAGATAGGTTTGGGCTTATTTGGTTTAGTATAAATCTTTTGATGTTGTTTTCTTTGACAGTTGTCGAATGGAGATACATGTTGTTTTGATGTGTTAAGTTGTTATCATGTCGATTAAAAAGTTGTTTGATACTATAATGTATAATTGGTTCATATATGTATGATATATGATGTATGGTGGTGAATGATTCATATGTATGCTTGGTAATGATATGTATGAATGTTTGAATATGATATGACATGTGTATATGTTCATATGAGGATGATATTGATCATGATGGTGGATTGATCATGTATGATGTATGATGCATTATTGCATGTGATGCCTTATGGCATGAGTATGATTATTGATCATGATGGTGGATTGACCATGTATGATGTATGATGCATTATTGCATGTGATACCTTATGGCATGTGTCTAGCCTAGGACTTGAGAAGAGGGAAATATTTTTGAACTAGAAGAGCTCACATAGAGTCTCTTGAGAGTGGTGCTTGGATAGGTCACTGATTATGAGAGTGGCCCTCAGGTAAGCCACTGGTTTGGGTGGTCTCCTCTAAGTCCTTAGTTAGTGTTGGAGCAGAGTATGAGGTCGAGGGTTATTCCCTTAACCAAATACTGGGGAAGGTGCTGGTTTCTTGAGGATAGTCGGTGGGCAAACCCCACAAGTGACTTGGTATGCATGTCAAGGTCGTGGTAAGCCTGTACCTAGCTATGTTATACCTGATGGTAGAACCAGACTTCCAATTGTGTAAGTGATATCATTCGAGTAAACCCGAGGGAGGATTTATATCTTGTTTAGCTGTGACTAAGCGGGCGCATTGGGCGTGAAAACGGTTGGGGTGGTTTCAGTAGGATGGGATGTCACTTATACTGCTCTGTTGTTAGGGAGATCTCCTAGGTGTATACGTGACGATGCATTAGATGATTGATATGCATTGATATCTATCATGAGTTGCATGTTATTGAATGATTGTTGTTATGATGAAGTGTGTGGTGTGACTTCATGTTTGATGAATTGATAATTGATTGAGATGGGAGTTCCTTTAGGACTTGATTGGATGAATGTGTGGTATAGATTTTGTTCTATACTTGTATGATTGATTTTTTGAACTCTAGCTTACCCTTCTGTTTCCATGTAGATGGACTGTGATGATCATACTTGTATGAAAGTAGGTTAGGGCTAGCTTGGAGTTGAGGTGACCGCTGCGAGACAGGGAGTTTTGTCCTCGTGTTAGAGTTACCGTGTTGGGTAACTGTTTTGTGTGTGCTTGACCGACACTAGGAGGTTATGATTTTGGGATGACTGTATATATATGGTGCTATATTTTGTACATAGAAATGTAGTTATTATATTTACATCTGTATGTATGAGTTGTTCAATTTCTATATTCTCTTAGATCACTTTCATTAGTGCAATTCAACTAAGTGTAGGGACCATGACAGGTCGTTACAATACACATATTGCAAACTGCTTCAACTGCTTCAATGGTTTGCTTAACCATCATTTTGGTCTCAGGTCATAGGCTCGAGTCTTGCCATGATTCTATCTTTAAAAAAACAAATTGGGAGAGATTATTCATTTATCTCTTTTAAATTTCATATATTCTTATATTTATCTATTTTATGTTGTATTTATTTATAATTATTTGGTGAGGTGTTCATCTTCTTATTTAATTTATGATACTTTTAATTCTAAATAGTCAATGAGGTGTTTTTAATTTTTTTTAATTATTTTATGATATTTATAATTGTCGTTTAACTAGTTTAATATTCTTAACCTCATCTCACTTTTGTAAACTATACTAAATTATAAATAATTAAAATTATTCTAAATTGTTTAGTTTAATTATTTTTATATTGTTTCTAACTATAACCTAGTTTAGTTAATCTTCCTAAGCTCGTATTATTATTATATCATCATTCTTTTTGAAGATAAATGTTAATCGATGGTCATAAGAAAAATAAAGGTTTGAATTAATTTGTAGTTGAATATTTAATCTTGGGGATTTAAATAAGTAAAAAACTTAAGGTGAAATATCATTGTATTATTTGAGATCATGATAATGTTCATTTATTTTGTGAAGGGGTTATTTTTATGGTATTTGTCTGAGGGGATATTTTATGAGTGTTATTTTTATAAGGTTATTACACAAACATACTCCACAATGATGAGATATTATCCGTTTTGGACCTAAGTTCTCACGATTTTGCTTTTAGTTATCACTCAAAAGGCCTCTCTATCATTGAAGTATTTTTGCGCTATATAAGTTGTTATTTCTTGTCTTATTTTATTGATGTGAGACTTGTTTGTATCCCAACAATTCTTCCCTCAAACAAGGGGCCTAACCTTTCATGCAACAAAATCTACCACTGAATGGGTTATTTTTATGGTATTTGTCTGAGGGAATATTTCATGAGTATTATTTTTATAAGGTCATCACCCAAAAGGCTTCTTAATCATTGAAGTATTTTTATGTTATATAAGTTATTATTTCTTGTCTTATTTTATTGATGTAGGACTTGTTTATATCTCAACATTTTAACTAGTCATTATAAGAATAATTCAAATTCCATTATCATAATTAATATTAATTATAAGTAATTTTGTATATTTTATTTATTTATTCATATTTATTAGATAATTATTCTTAATCGTTATATATATATATATATATATATATATATATATATATCTTATTTTAAATATTAAATTAAATAAGATGTAAAATAAATGAATCTTCTAATATAACTATATTAGACCCTTCTACTATAATTATCTTGGTCGTATTCTCGAGCAAAAATTAAAATATTAATATAATTACAAATTTAGTAACTTTTCAAAACATAAGATTATCCATTTTTATATTTTCTTCGATAATAAATATATTTCATCCTGAGATGTAATTACCTTTTTATTGAACAAAGCTCAAAGTAATCTTCCAAATCCTGATATAAGCCTAACATTCAATATAGAATATTGAGTCATGATTACAGGATGAAATGAAGAAAAAACTTTGTTCGTGAAGGCGCGGTACGAGACACGTCTTGTCTTGTTGAAATGTTGGAAAAAATCAGAAATGAATAATTGTGATAAAACACTCACTTCCTTTGTCCTCTTTGCCTTCTGTCGTATATGCTATCCAATCACCTCGATCTTATCTTCTTAGCTAACTTCTCTATCTTTTTGAAGATCAAATTCTTATAATATCTTTATTTATTTTTTCTTATTTTCACAAAATTAAAATTATTTAAAAAATATATACATTAAATTAAATTATTATCCTTATATTATATTAAATGTTGAATATAGTTATCTTATAAAACATTAACAATTTTTGCCAGCTCTGCATTTAAGTACAAATAGTGAGTGAAAGCTGGCCTACATCATTGTATCATGATTTACAGAGCAATACTACCATTCTATCTTATAAACCTGTGCCTCTGTTTTCCTTCACTATCTCAAAAATCAATTTTCTTATTTACAACTCCTCAGATCTAAATTCTTCCATATCCGCAACCTCAAGCCACACAAGCACAAAAATGTTAACCATTGTTGCATCTTATTGTGTTGTTCCAAATGAAGAAACTCCCGAGACTCGTTTAAGGTTATCAGATTACGACCAAGTGGTGCGTTTGGGTCACACACCCACTATCTATGTTTACAAAGCAAAGCACAACCACAACACCACCGAGAAGATGAGAAAGTCACTCAGCAAAATTTTAGTGTTCTACTATCCAATAGCTGGCAGATTGAGCTTAACAGAAAGTGGTCGAATCGAATTGGATTGCAATGCAAAGGGAGTCACATTTCTTGAAGCTGAAACCACAAAATCAATGGCCGATTATGGAGACTTTGCACCTTCTGAATCCATCAAGGAACTCGTTCCAAAGATTGATTATACTACACAACCTATAGAGGAGCTTCCTTTGTTGTTTGTGCAATTGACAAGGTTCCATGGTGGTGAAGGCTTTGCCATTGGATCGGCTAACTCTCATGTTTTGTCTGATGGGCTTGCTCATATTCGATTCATGAATTCATGGGCAAAGGTGACTCGAGGAGAGACACTAGAGCCACATGAAATGCCATCTTTGGATAGAACAGCACTCATATTCCAACGTTCACCTTCATCACCACGCTTTGATCACCCAGAGTTGAAGCCTCTTCCTCTGAAACTTGGAGCCTCCGATAATGCTGCTGAGAAAAAGAAGAAGACAAGTGCTGTGTTATTGAAGCTAACAGCGAAACAAGTGGAGAAGCTGAAGAAGAAGGCCAACGAGCAACCCGTGAAAGAAGGGTCGAGACATTATAGCAGATTTGAAGCTATCACTGCTCATATATGGAGATGTGCATCAAAGGCTCGTGAACTTGATGAGAAGCAACCAACTCTACTTAGGTTCAATGTGGATATTCGCAATAGACTAATTCCTCCTCTTCCTAGGAACTATTTTGGGAATGCTTTGGTGGCAACAGTGACACCAAAATGTTACGCTGGAGAAATTATGTCAAAACCATTGAGCTATGCTGCCCAAAAAGTAAGAGAAGCAAATGAAATGGTTTCAAATGAGTACATAAGGTCACAATCAGAGGCTGTATTAGGGCAGGAACACTTAGATTGCATAAAGGCATTCTTCATGGGACAAGGAGAACGTAGCCTTGCTCATTTTCCAGGGAATCCTAATATTCAGATAACAAGCTGGATGAACTTGCCGGTGTATGAAGCAGATTTTGGGTGGGGAAAGCCTATATATTTTGGTTTAGGGTATGTGAATTCACATGATAGGGCACTGATTCTTCTGAGCCCAGAGGGCGATGGATCTGTTATTGTGTCCATACACTTCCAGATAGCACATATGCAACTTTTCAAGAAACTCTTCTACGAGGACTACTCTAAACTCTAAACTCTTGTAAGGTATGTGTGTGGAAAGGAATATTTTACATGAACATATGACTACTTGCCATATCAATAATCCATGCATATATTAAGTTATCATCGATGATTCTTCAGTTTCACACTTATACAAATTTATGGATCTCACTCATTCTGCTGTGATGGAGATGTTATAATAGTTGCTCAAAAAGTAGAAAATCATAAAAATCCTCGAACAGAGACTCACATCCACTTAACTCCTATCAAACTGTGTCTGGTGTAGCTTTATTCATTAGGAATAAATCATATTTTTACTTTTTATATATACCTGTCATTGTATATTTGAATAACTTTTACTATGTGATAAAATTTAATTTTTTATAATTGAATGGCTCACACTATCACACGTTCAGAGTCCCTTTGTTACAGAATGTTTAGGTAAATAGAAAACATCTTGTGAGTTGGCACATTGAAAGCAATAATTAATACGATACTAATTCTGGGTCCCAATCATTAACTACTTTTGTTCTGTTCGATGAAAATGAATAAAGAAAACAAAAGGTATCTTTTATGAAAATATGATTTAAAATGATGTGAAATATCTTAACTTTAATATGTCTGAAATGCATATGTATTTATAATTTGAATCAAATTAATTAGTACACATGAAATACTATAATTTAACAGTTTTAAAATGTAATCAAAATTTAGAAAATATAAAATTGGTTTAAATTATTTTTTATTTAAGAAAATATAACTTTTTTTGAACAAGTCATCACTTATAAAATGTGACTCAATTCTAAGGTAAGGGTCAAATCTATAAAAATTAAATATCCTTAGACTTGTATTTAGTAAAGAAGAAATGAGTGAAAGGGGAAAGAGAGAAAAAAAAAAAGGAGAAGAGAAATGCAAAAAAGTGTATGAAAATAGATAAAAAATAAAATAAAAACAAAAATTATTTGATAAAGAAAAACAAATAAAAATTGGAATATTTTATTATTATTATTATTATTATTATTATTATTAATGTTTTTACTAAAAGTGATTCATATCTTATATCATAATAATTAATTTTTTTACTAAAAGTGATCCATATCTTATATCATGCCTTCCCCTCTCTTAATTTTTTAAATTTCTTATAACTTTCCCTCATATAAAAAGTGAAGTTTTTATTTATTTTTTTATTTATTTATTGTTTTTTATTTTAAAGTGAGTCTGGATCCATTTTCATCATAATTTTCCTTTATCAAACAATACTATATTTTTAACTTCTTACCACTTATCTCTCTCTTTTCATTTCTCTTCTTTTTTTTATGTTTTACAAAACAAGAACTAAATAAGAGTCAGTACTATAACGTTAAATCACTTAAATTAAGTACTTTTAGTAGTTAAATTACTCATTTAGATTTATTCTTATTTTTATAATTTCTTACTTTGTAACGACCCGTCATGGCCGTCACACTACGAAATAACACTACACACTACTGAAATATATACTAAAATAGTATAATAAAAATAATTACAACACAAGTTGCTAATCAAGCAACCAACAACAACCAGCTATATACAAAAAAAAATGCCACTATAAGGGTAGCCTACAAAATAAAATCCAACTTTAGGCACCTCTTGTGACCTTTAACAGCTATCTCCCAGTCTATCCCTACCCTGCTCCCATACATCGTATGATCATCGCAGTCCAAACCACATGGAAACATGCAAGGGTAAGATAGAGACAATAAAAAAATTATAATAATTAAATATGCAACACAACAACTATATAATCATCTTCACATATGACACATAAGACAAACAACACATATCATATACATCTTAGCATCATTTGAACTTGATTCAACATATCAACACTGTATCAACACTTCAACGTAACTACTGTACTAATCATTAGAATAGTTATCATATTCATCATAACAACAACCAACACATATATTGCACACCTCTCAACAACACATTGTATACAGATAAGCAACTTACAACATAACAACACTATCATCATCCTCAACAGGGTCAACATACAACACAATCACAACTTAACAACATATATCCAACCCATATCAACATCAATTAAACACATCAACATCTTATGCGTCGTCATGCATTTCACCTCGGAGATCTCCTACAACATGGGTGAGCCGTTTAAGTGGCTAAGTCCTACTGAACCGACAACAAAGAACCTTTTTGGGCTTGCTAGGTAAACATAAAATTTGGATATCAATCCACAACACGAAAATGATTTCTCAGACTTTGCCACTTAAACAAGGAAGTATAGTACTATGTCAGGATAGAACAACTGGGTTTAGGCCTACCACGACATTAGCTAGCTGAATTAAACCACCTATGGAATTAGCCTACTGACTATCCTCCAAATACTACAACCATCCGATACTCAGTTAGGAACTAAGTTCCCAACTTCGTACTTTACTCAAATTGGTCACTTATAATCGGTATAGCTCGACCTGGCCCCTATACCGTGATCTCTTTGTACACGTGTGCCACGACCTTGCCTACACACGGGACCAACTAAGTCCTAGAGGAGAACAATACAACGTCCATTCCAAGAGACAACTTCCCAAGGAGGGTTTTCAACAAATTGGGCTTTTTGAGCATCACAACTTTCTTAATCCACACAATGGGATGAGCAACTTCGAAAACATCTCCCCTAGTCCTAGTGATCAACAACTCATCATCACAGCTTAATCAGCTTATAACTAAACAACACAACTCAACTCAACAACTTAAACAACATGATCAAATCAACAGCACAGCTCAGCTCAACAACTTAAACAACATGATCAACTCAACAGCACAACTCAGCTCAACAACTTAAACAGCGTGATCAAATCAACCGCACATCTCAGCTCAACAACTTAAACAACATGATCAACTTAACAACACAACTCAACTCAACAACTTAAACAACATGATCAACTCAACAGCACAACTCAGCTCAACAACTTAAACAACAAGATCAACTCAACAGCTTAATGGCTCAACTCCTAATCTACAACTCAATCATCATAAAATAATATCTTTCAACACATAGTACAACATACAACTTTATAGCAACATACAACTTTCCTCTAACAACTTAGCAACACAGTCTACTAATAACTTCTATATAAATCTCAACACCTCTATACAATTCACATCATGCTTCTCACAATATTATCATCATGCACTTCACAACTTTCAACTATATCATCTCATCATATTTCACAACATAATTAGCCAACTCATAACATAAAACAACTTTAACCACTTAACTTCAACAATATCATCAATTCAACATATAATAGATCAACAACTTCACAACATACAACATATTCAACACATAATACAACTCACCCATCATGTTTATAACTCATCTATCATGCCAACCTACACAACATATACAACATGAATTAACCTACATACCCAAGACAACCTTCAACTTATCCAAATCACTCCTTCTGAAATGGAAACCTTTACATAAAATAACATATCGGGAGTTATACTGCTCCTATCATGTCCTTATCTCATATGAAAGATAAGAAGATTTCCTACAACTCTCATGAAGACACCAAGTCTTAATTCTTTCATCTACCTTGTTAACAATTCTAAAAACCGCAACAGCTAAACCCAATGCTGGCAACTTGACCCCTCTTCACTAAAACAGCCATATATGGAGTTCTAGACCTCCTTTTTGGGTGTTTCCAGCGCCATTGGAAAGCTAACATCCAAGACTACAACTTTCATGAAGACTTAAAGACCAACATACTCACGCCCGGCGCAAACTCAAATAGAGACTCACAAGAATCTCCACGCCTGGAGCGACTAGCCTCGCGCTCGGCGTGATTTAACACTGGTGGCCCCGGATGAATGCATGTCCGACGCATATTCAACTAGAAACCTCCAAAAACCTCAAAAATCCCTTCAAAACTTGAAAATCAGCAACTTCAACCACATGCAATCCATGAACTGCAACATATAGACTCTCTATAACTCAAAAACGAGTTCAGATTCAACATGCAACCAATCAATGCATCAATATTGACAAAAACCCCATTTTTCCCAAAATTCTCAAAAATGAGGAAATCACCTGATTCAACCACTTATTCTCGAATTCCATACATCAATGGAGTTCCTAAACTCCCATGCAACCAAACAACATACATTCTAGCTCCCCTTCCCTGAAGATTGGCTCCGAACAGCCAAGAATTTGGGAAGAAGAAAACTTTCCTCCGAGCTCAACTCCCGAACTTCAATTAAGCCTTCAAAATAAGCTTCCTAGCCTGAATTTTAAGAGAAGACAGAAGAAGTTAGTTATTTAGAAAAGAAAAAGAATCAACCAGAGAAATTTGAGAGAGAAAGGAGCTCGCAGACCTAGAGTCCTTCTCTCTAAAACTTCTCTCTAGTTTCTTTGAGAATGAACTTATGAAGTTCCCTCAAAGAAACCCTTATATACTCTTCTTTCTCTGGAGTCAACTAAACTCAAAAATCTCCTCACTACGTTACATACTTATTGAAATTAAATTATTAATATTAAATTTATAATTTACACAAGTTTACGGCAATAATATAATATATTATTCATATTAAAAATAAGAAGTAATAATTGATTAAATATTTTTATAATAACAAAATTGTATATTAATATATATTTTACTATTAATATTAACTCACAATAACACTAAAAAAATGCATTATCGATTGAATTTAGCAACCGAATGTTATGGTTTAGAATTAGTAATTATTTATTTTATGTGAGAAAATAAAATCAAAAAAGTTAAAGTGACGAATTTAACAACCGACATATTAGTCACCAATAAATTTAAAATTGACTAGTCATTAAAAATCAGTAGCAATTATTATTTTATATATAAATCATTGTGAAACATTTTATAATCTAACATATCATCAATCACTAAAATATTATTTAGCAAATGAATAAATCGATTGATAAATGAAATGAAAATAAAAATATAATACTTTGTGACTGAAAAATTAATTATCACTAAAACCTTAAATTTAACACTTTTTAATATATAATATCAATATTTCATATATAATTCAAAATAACATAATAAATGTATTTTATTTTACTATATAAAATTTATGTTGTAATTTTTTACATTTTCATTTTAAAAAAATTAACACAATGTTGAGTTATATTATAATATAATTTCTTTTATATAAATAAAGACATTTAAGTTGTAAGTATCATATATTAGTGAGAAAGAGACACTTGATGCTCCTATATATTTATTTAGAAAATAAACATATATATTTAAAAATAAGAAGATAAAAAAGATAAAAAAAATATCTATAAAAAATAATAGAAGTTAAATGATAAGAGGTGATTCGTGATTAAAGATTTAATATAGTTT